TTCGACATTTATTTATGTATCTCCTTTGATGAAAAATAAACTTTTTTAAACATCTGAGTAAAATGACTGTAGTTTGGTCCAGGAGAGAGAGAAAAAACAGTTAGCACCACGGAAAGTGCACAGCTTCGAAAGGTTAGGTCTGCACGTCGAAAAAATGATTAAAAACAAACACACAGACACAAAAGTAAAAAGAAAAGAAAAAACAAAACAAAACTACATTATGCCCGAGAAACATTACAAATACAAAATGTAAATATGTAACTGCTTAATCTAGAAATAGTGAATATTGGTTAGACAAATAAAAATTAATGATGAAAGCTTGTGTGAATAAGAGAGTGAATAAAACTAAACCAAGCACTGAAATTTGATATTAACAGTTCATTTTGGATCTTATTGACTTCAATCAAAGTAACTGAGAATATAATGTTAATATGCAATGAAAACAATGCGTGTTTGTCCAAGAGGAATATTGCCTTGAAAATAATGTCTCACCAATGTAGAGTTTGTGGATCTCTGATGTCCATTCTGCGCAGAATCAGTCTCGACGTCATCAACACTGACCAGACTTTGACTCATGGGCTGCATGTATTTAATGTCACTCTTTCTGGAGTCTGTGGTCCTGCACGTGTCGTAATTGTACACGTGTGGGAGAGTCGCTGTGCCCAGAGTGTCTGAGTAACGTGGAGGATAATATGGGATCACTGGCAGATTGGAGTGATACAGGATGCGAGACTGTCTCCATCTGTAGATTTTCACTGAGATAATGACCACTACACACGTGATGAACAGAAAGGAGACTACAGCCAGAGCCAGCACTAAGTAAAAAGTCAGGTTGTCATTGTACTCCTTGTCGTGCGTAAAGTCAGTGAACTCAGACAGTACTTCAGGAAAGCTGTCCGCCACCGCCACGTTAACAATGACTGTAGCTGAACGAGAGGGCTGCCCGTTGTCCTCCACTATAACAGTCAGTCTCTGTTTGACTGCATCTTTATCAGTCACTTGGCGGATAGTTCTTATTTCTCCATTCTGTAAGCCCACTTCAAACAGCGCCCTGTCTGCGGCTTTCTGCAGTTTATAGGAGAGCCAGGCATTCTGTCCAGAGTCCACATCCACAGCCACCACTTTAGTGACCAGATAGCCCACATCTGCTGAACGAGGCACCATCTCAGCCACCAGAGAACCCCCAGTCTGGACTGGGTACAGCACCTGAGGGGCGTTATCGTTCTGATCCTGAACCAGGATTTTCACAGTCACATTGCTGCTGAGAGGAGGAGAGCCTCCGTCCTGCGCTTTGATTACGCACACAAACTCTTTAGTTTGTTCATAATCAAATGAGCGCGCGGCACTAATAACTCCGTTTTCTGAATTTACAGAGATATAACCAGAAACAGGAGAGCCACCAATGCCACACTCCTCTAAAATATATGACACACGCGCGTTTTGATTTTCATCCGGGTCTTTGGCAACTACATTTAGTACAGTATAACCAGGTGAGTTATTCTCCATTATCGTAGCGCTGTAGAGCGCATGAGTGAACACCGGAGGGTTATCATTTACATCTGAAATCTTTAAAACAAATATTTTATTGACTGACAGAGAAGGCTTTCCCGAGTCGGAGGCGATTACTGTAATGTTAAATTCGGATAAGCTCTCTCTGTCTAAAAGCGCACTGGTTAGCATCGTGTAATAGTTTCTCACGTTCGATTTTATTTGAACAGGGGCAATTCCCTCAACTGAGCATTTCACCAGTCCGTTCTCACCTGAATCCAAATCTTTTACATTAATTATTCCGATGGTGGTGCCCACGGGAGCGTCTTCTGAAACGGGACTGGTGAACGACATCACATTTATAACAGGCGCATTGTCATTAACATCTAGAATGTCTATTTCTACTTTGCAAGTATCTGTCAGTCCTCCTTGGTCTTTGGCCTCAACTCTAAACTCCAACTTTTTTTCTTTTTCAAAATCTAATTCTTTTGCTAAAAAAACACTCCCTGTGTATTCATCAATTTCAAAGAAATCGGCTACTGATGCTTTTGATTTGGAAAAGGAGTATGTTACTTCACTGTTTGCTCCACTGTCTATATCACTCGCGTTTACCGTAAGGACATGTGTGCCTATGGGAGAATTTTCAGTCACAGACGCTTTATAAATCCTCTGATTAAAACAGAGGGGCGTTGTCATTGACATCTAAGACAACAATATTTATATTTACTGATCCAGATCTCTGCGGACTTCCTCCATCCACAGCCACCAGTTTGAGATTAATCTGCGACTGTTTTTCTCTGTCTAGTGCAGTCTGAAGAACCATCTGAATGAATTTAGTGCCGTCAGGATCAGCGTTTTCTTTCAAGATAAAATTATTGTTTGGAGTTAACACATATTCTTGTAAACTGTTTAGCCCTACGTCAGAATCACCTGCCGCCTCCAAGCCAAAGCGCGATCCTGTCATTGCTGCTTCACTGATTTTGAAATCCAATTGTTTACTCTCAAAACTGGGCGCATTGTCGTTTATGTCCAGCACCTCTATAGTCACAGGGTGTAACTCCATCGGGTTTTCCAGTAAAATCTCAAACGTGAAGCTGCAGGGCGTCACGTCTCCACAGAGCTGCTCTCTGTCTATCCTCTCATTCACCACCAGAGTCCCTTTGTCTGTCTTCAGCTCGGCGTACTGAACATTTTCTCCAGTCACGATACGAGCTCGGCCAGAACGAAGCCTTTTTATGTCCAAACCCAAGTCCTGTGCAACGTTACCAATAAGAGAGCCCTTCCTCATCTCCTCTGGGATTGAGTAGCGGATCTGTGCGTCGACTTGAATCAAAAATATCATCAAGAAAATACACGACGACATTGCTTCAACAGATGACACGGAGAATGTTCCTGATGATTTTCCGTGTTTGAATAGTTCGAATGCCATGGTAAAATACAGCTATCGAAGAGCTAGAAAAATTAACATTTGTTCAATCGTATCCAAGTACAATGTTATGGATTGACGTTCCTCAGGCTCTATTTCTACTGTAGAGGTTAAGACGGAATGAAAAGCCACCGTGCTCCTCGAGACAAAACACAGTGATGGGAGGGAATAGCCAGATTCACAGAACCCTCTAAACGACTCACAGGACAACAGCGTCACTTTGAGGACAAACGCAGAAACTATTTGCCAAAGATTTCGCTGGGCTTATACATTAACGGGTAACAAGCGTAATGGACTTTGACCTTGTCAAATCAAGCGATGTATAAAACGACATCCCTATAAATGCTATTTAAAAAAGTAATTATTAGAATATTTAGCAGTTTCAGGACTGAAGTAATTAAACACGTAACAATGCATGGGATTTCGAAGGTAATCATCAAAGTAAAAATAGGACTGCAGAAGATGGCATAAGTTTAACCAAATATTATATTGTTTATTAGATTGCAATAAAGCAGTAATAATTTCCTACTGAGAAATAAATGATTCTATATTAATGTATCTATATAGAGTATGTGAAATATTGTACTTCACGGAGTAATTCGAAAACATGAAACTCATAAAAGTCTGACTGTAGTTGGACTTTAAAAAGTTTTTTTTTTTTTTTTTTTTTTTTTAAATCAGCACCATGGACAGTTAACAGCCACTAAAGTCTAAGTGAAGCAGATGTAGAAAAAAAAAAATAAAGATATGAAGTTGCAGTAGCATTACATAAAAATAAATAAATACAAAATAACAGTATAAATTCAATAAATAAAATGTCATTAAGAAAATCGGGATTTAAAAGAGGGAATAATAATATACAAATAAATGCTACATCAAGCAGCCTAAAATTACAGATCAAATCGCATCTCTCTTTAAAGCAATTGGTAATAAAAGGTTTCTATTAAAAAATATCATTACATGTATGTCCAAGAGCATAAATAAAATTAAAATAATGCCTCACCAGTGTAGAGTTCGTGGATCTCTGATGTCCATTCTGCGCAGAATCAGTCTCGACGTCATCAACACTGACCAGACTTTGACTCATGGGCTGCATGTATTTAATGTCACTCTTTCTGGAGTCTGTGGTCCTGCACGTGTCGTAATTGTACACGTGTGGGAGAGTCGCTGTGCCCAGAGTGTCTGAGTAACGTGGAGGATAATATGGGATCACTGGCAGATTGGAGTGATACAGGATGCGAGACTGTCTCCATCTGTAGATTTTCACTGAGATAATGACCACTACACACGTGATGAACAGAAAGGAGACTACAGCCAGAGCCAGCACTAAGTAAAAAGTCAGGTTGTCATTGTACTCCTTGTCGTGCGTAAAGTCAGTGAACTCAGACAGTACTTCAGGAAAGCTGTCCGCCACCGCCACGTTAACAATGACTGTAGCTGAACGAGAGGGCTGCCCGTTGTCCTCCACTATAACAGTCAGTCTCTGTTTGACTGCATCTTTATCAGTCACTTGGCGGATAGTTCTTATTTCTCCATTCTGTAAGCCCACTTCAAACAGCGCCCTGTCTGCGGCTTTCTGCAGTTTATAGGAGAGCCAGGCATTCTGTCCAGAGTCCACATCCACAGCCACCACTTTAGTGACCAGATAGCCCACATCTGCTGAACGAGGCACCATCTCAGCCACCAGAGAGAACCCCCAGTCTGGACTGGGTACAGCACCTGAGGGGCGTTATCGTTCTGATCCTGAACCAGGATCTTAACTGAGACCACTGAGCTCAGAGGAGGAGAGCCAGAGTCACGAGCTGTTACATTAAAATCAAATTTCTTTATTTGCTCATAATCAAATGACTTTGCAGCAGAAATTACGCCATTTTCTGAATTCAGTGACACCAAAGAAGACAAAGACGCACCATTAATTTCAGTTTCCTCCAGAAAGTAAGAAATCCGGGCGTTTTGGCCCCAGTCTGCATCAGTCGCACGTACAGTGAAAATAGAAAATCCAGGTGAGTTATTCTCAGGTATTGTTCTACTATATTCTGATTCGTCAAACTTTGGGGGGTTGTCATTGACGTCGGAAACTTTGACCTGAATTGTTTTTCTGTTTGAAAGCGGCGGGGAGCCTTGATCAGTCACTGTTAGAGTAATATTATATTCTGAGACACTCTCTCTGTCTAACACGTCATCAGTCACTATTGTATAATAACCAGACAATGAAGATTCAATTTTAAAAGGTAAATCAGAACTAATAGAACATTCTACTACACCGTTTCTCTCTGAGTCGTCGTCATGAACATTAATCACAGCTAAAGTTGTGCCTGGAGGGGCATCCTCGGAGATTGTGCTTGAAAATGACATGAGCTGAATAACAGGAGAGTTATCATTCACGTCAGTTACTTGGATAATCACGCTGCATGTGTCAGAATAGCCTCCGTGGTCACTAGCCCGAACGTTTAATTGATAAGATTTAGACTTTTCATAATCGAGATTACCAATAACTTCAATCTGCCCTGTTTTAACATTTACGTCAAACAACTGCTTGGAGTCTTTACTGAAGTGAGCAAATGAAAACATGACTTCACCATTGACTCCTGTATCTGCGTCAGTGGCGCTGACGGTGGTGACCACAGTTCCTATTGCAGAGTTTTCTTGAACCTCAGCTTTATACACCTGTTTACTACAGACTGGTGCATTATCGTTCGCGTCTAGTACAGTGATGTGAATACGTGCTGTTCCTGATCTCTGAGGTGCGCCTCCATCTGAAGCGACCAAAATCAGTGTATGTTCCTCATTTTTCTCTCGATCTAAAGGCGTTTCCAAAACCATCTCCACAAACTGACTCCCGTCAGAATGTGATCGCATTTCAAGTTTAAAATGATCCGCGGGTTTTAGTGTGTATTTCTCAATATCATTGACACCTACATCCGAATCATACGCACGTTCTAACGCGTAGCGTGTTCCTGGCGCAGCAGTTTCTACTATTTTTAAAACAATTTCTTCTTTCATAAAAGCTGGAGTATTGTCGTTCACATCTGTTACCTCCACAGTGACTCGATACAGCTGAATTGGATTCTCCAGAATCACCTCAAAACTAAAACTGCAGGGCGTTGATTTCTCACACAGCTCCTCTCGGTCGATTCGCTCTTTAACAACAAGGATGCCTTTGTCTCGATTTAAATCCACATATTGTCGACTTTCTTTAGTCACAATGCGAGCGTTCCCCGAGACCAGTCTTTGCACATCTATTCCCAAATCTCCAGCAATATTTCCAACGAAAGATCCCTCCGTCTGTTCTTCAGGAACAGAGTAACGAGCCTGTCCACACACGGACCTCAGCGTAAAGAGACAAAGAACCAGGCCGAGCCACTGCCCTCTGTGAGAGACTCCCTTCAATGAAGCCATTGCAGATATTTACAAATATGAGACATCAAATAATAAAATGTTTAAAGAGAACAATGTCCAGCAGTATAAAAAGCCACAATGAATCCCGCAGTCTGAAACGACCGTCCTCTAGAACAGTAAATGTGAAATGTAGAATAGAGGGAGGATCGTTTCACAATATTACACTCTACAGTCAACAGCGGCGCTCAGAGTCCAGACGAGGTAACGTATCCAGATGGAAAATTATTATTAAGAAGAAAATAATAATTCAGTTCTTTAAAAAACAAAAAAAGTATTATTGAGAAATGAGAAATGAGCCATAGACTAAATATTTTCTTATGCACCGGGATAAAGGAAAGAAATGATAAACAATGAGAATAAAGACTTAATACATTATTTTAAAATTCTTGAAAAAAAATGAAGAGTTAAAAAAAAAAAAAAAAAAAAAAAAAAAAAACACCAAACAAAAACAAACAAAAAACAAAACAAAACAAACCTTAAGCTTTAATGTTATTCTCATAATATATGACTATTCTGTCGCATGGTAGTGTTACTTTTTAAAATAACTGTACTGTGTCCTATTACTTATCGTATGAAAAAAAAGGAAGAGTTGAGTAAAAGAGTTCTGAGGAAAATTTCAAGTGAAGATGAGTACGTTTTTCAGCACCAGAGAAAGCGTTTACCACCAACACTGAGGCAGCTAGAAAAACAAGTGTAAATATCACTCACCAGAGTTGACATATTGGAGCCTGGAAACTGCTTCTCTAATTGTTGGGCTTCAGAATCGGTTCCACCGACGTCGAGTAAACTTTGACTCATGGGCTGCATGTATTTAATGTCACTCTTTCTGGAGTCTGTGGTCCTGCACGTGTCGTAATTGTACACGTGTGGGAGAGTCGCTGTGCCCAGAGTGTCTGAGTAACGTGGAGGATAATATGGGATCACTGGCAGATTGGAGTGATACAGGATGCGAGACTGTCTCCATCTGTAGATTTTCACTGAGATAATGACCACTACACACGTGATGAACAGAAAGGAGACTACAGCCAGAGCCAGCACTAAGTAAAAAGTCAGGTTGTCATTGTACTCCTTGTCGTGCGTAAAGTCAGTGAACTCAGACAGTACTTCAGGAAAGCTGTCCGCCACCGCCACGTTAACAATGACTGTAGCTGAACGAGAGGGCTGCCCGTTGTCCTCCACTATAACAGTCAGTCTCTGTTTGACTGCATCTTTATCAGTCACTTGGCGGATAGTTCTTATTTCTCCATTCTGTAAGCCCACTTCAAACAGCGCCCTGTCTGCGGCTTTCTGCAGTTTATAGGAGAGCCAGGCATTCTGTCCAGAGTCCACATCCACAGCCACCACTTTAGTGACCAGATAGCCCACATCTGCTGAACGAGGCACCATCTCAGCCACCAGAGAACCCCCAGTCTGGACTGGGTACAGCACCTGAGGGGCGTTATCGTTCTGATCCTGAACCAGGATTTTCACAGTCACATTGCTGCTGAGAGGAGGAGAGCCTCCGTCCTGCGCTTTGATTACGCACACAAACTCTTTGGTTTGTTCATAATCAAATGAGCGCGCGGCACTAACAAGTCCATTTTCTGAATTAACAGAGATATAACCCAGGACAGGAGAGCCACCAACGTCACACTCCTCTAAAATATATGACACACGCGCGTTTTGGTTTTCATCTGGGTCTTTGGCAACAACATTTAACACAGAATAACCAGGTGAGTTATTCTCTGTTATGGTCGCGCTGTAGAGCGCATGTGTGAATAATGGAGGGTTATCATTTACATCTGAAATCTTTAAATTCAGTGTTTTATCGACTGAGAGCGGTGGCTTTCCCAAATCCGAGACAACTATTGTGATGTTAAATTCTGATAAACGCTCCCGGTCAAATGGAGCATTAGTTACTAGTGCGTAATAGTTTCTAACATTAGACTTTATTTCAACAGGGGCACTTCCCTCCACTGAACATCTCACCTGTCCGTTCTCACCTGAATCAAAGTCTTTAACATTAATAATACCGATGGTGGTGCCCACTGTAACGTCCTCTGACACAGGACTAGTGAACGACATCACGTTAATAACAGGCGCATTGTCGTTCACGTCTGTAATGTGTATTTCCACTTCACATGTATCCGTCAGTCCTCCTTGGTCTCTGGCCTCAACCCTGAACTCCACTTTCTTGTCCGTTTCATAATCAATTTCTTTTCGTAACATAAATCCCGCCAGTGTCTCGATTTATATCAAAGAAATCCGTGACCTGATAATTTGGAAAAGGAGTAGGTCACTTGACCGTTTGCTGCGTCATCTACATCACTGGCATTTACTGTGACAATAAGAGTCCCCTTTGGTGAGTTTTCAGGCATAGTAGCTTTATAAATACTCTGACTAAACACAGGGGCGTTGTCATTTATATCTAAAACGATTATATGTACATTCACAGTACCAGATCTTTGTGGACTTCCACCGTCAACAGCCACTAGTTTGAAATTAAGGCGCGGCTGTTTCTCTCTGTCCAAAGCATTCTGCAGCACCATTTGAATGTATTTACTCCCGTCGGATTTAACGTGCTCTTTTAAAACAAAATTATCGTTTGGAGTCAACACATAGTTTTGCAATCCATTTTCTCCTACATCAGAATCACCTGCCGCCTCCAAATCAAAGCGTGAGCCGATTGTAGCCAATTCGCTTATTTCAAAATCCAAGTGTTTACTCTGAAATGTGGGCGAATTGTCATTTATGTCCAGCACCTCTATAGTCACAGGGTGTAACTCCATCGGGTTTTCCAGTAAAATCTCAAACGTGAAGCTGCAGGGCGTCACGTCTCCACAGAGCTGCTCTCTGTCTATCCTCTCATTCACCACCAGAGTCCCTTTGTCTGTCTTCAGCTCGGCGTACTGAACATTTTCTCCAGTCACGATACGAGCTCGGCCAGAACGAAGCCTTTTTATGTCCAAACCCAAGTCCTGTGCAACGTTACCAATAAGAGAGCCCTTCCTCATCTCCTCTGGGATTGAGTAGCGGATCTGTGCGTCGACTTGAATCAAAAATAACATCAAGAAAATACACGACGACATTGCTTCGACAGATGTCACAGACAGTTTCTCTAATGATGTACTCCGATTAAATAGTCCAAATAACATGGTGAAAAACGCTAGTCTAATCAATCCACGTTCACAAAACTGTGTACAATGTTAGATTTCTAAATGCATCGGGCTATATTTCTACTGTATGAAAACGGTCTGAAAATCCGCTGTGTTCCTCGAGACAAAACGCAGTGATGGGAGGGAATAATACAAATCACAAAACTCTCTCAACAACTCACAGGACAACAGCGTCACTATGAGGCCAAACACAGAAACTACTGGCAAAAGGCTTAGTTGGACGTATAATATAACTGGCGACAAGCGGACTGGCTTTTGTAAAGGTCATATTAAACGATAAAGCAGTACAAAAAGAGAGTATCAAAAAAGATATATTTAAGAAGTAATTACCTGAGGAAGTTTTTTTATAATAACAATAATAAAAGAAAGAATTGCACGTAAGTGTCCGAGACAAACATTTAAAGATATTATTGCAGAAATCTCAAATTCATTTGACCAAAAAAAAACAAACATTTTTTTTAAATCTACATAAAGCAGTCCTATTTCCCAAGTGATAATTTTACGATTATGTATTTGTCTTATTTTATGAAAAAGAAAATTTTGAAAACATGAAAATTAGAGAAGTTTGACTGTAGTTGGGTCAGAACTTAGCGTAACAATATCAGCACCATGGACAGTGCACAGCTTTGAAGGAGTATATGCAAAAGACAACGGTAGAGTCGAAAAAATGTTGGCTCTTGTTGGAGTTATATGATCTTCATTACCTTAAAATGTACAAATGTAACTGCTCAATCAAAAGTAAGAAAAAAAAAAAAAGGATTAGATGAAATAATAGTAATTTAAAGTATGTTAACACAATTTTAACAAATAGTTGCGAATAAGAGAGTGAAGAACATTAAACCATGCGCTATGCGCTGAAATGTAGGCTTCATAAACTGATCATTCCGGATCTCATTGGCCTTACTCAAACTAATATAGTAATATACTTTTTATGCAACATAATTAGTACGTGTATGTCCAAGCGAATCATTACAATGAAGATAATGTCTCACCAGTGTAGAGTTTGTGGATCTCTGATGTCCATTCTGCGCAGAATCAATCTCGACGTCATCAACACTGACCAGACTTTGACTCATGGGCTGCATGTATTTAATGTCACTCTTTCTGGAGTCTGTGGTCCTGCACGTGTCGTAATTGTACACGTGTGGGAGAGTCGCTGTGCCCAGAGTGTCTGAGTAACGTGGAGGATAATATGGGATCACTGGCAGATTGGAGTGATACAGGATGCGAGACTGTCTCCATCTGTAGATTTTCACTGAGATAATGACCACTACACACGTGATGAACAGAAAGGAGACTACAGCCAGAGCCAGCACTAAGTAAAAAGTCAGGTTGTCATTGTACTCCTTGTCGTGCGTAAAGTCAGTGAACTCAGACAGTACTTCAGGAAAGCTGTCCGCCACCGCCACGTTAACAATGACTGTAGCTGAACGAGAGGGCTGCCCGTTGTCCTCCACTATAACAGTCAGTCTCTGTTTGACTGCATCTTTATCAGTCACTTGGCGGATAGTTCTTATTTCTCCATTCTGTAAGCCCACTTCAAACAGCGCCCTGTCTGCGGCTTTCTGCAGTTTATAGGAGAGCCAGGCATTCTGTCCAGAGTCCACATCCACAGCCACCACTTTAGTGACCAGATAGCCCACATCTGCTGAACGAGGCACCATCTCAGCCACCAGAGAACCCCCAGTCTGGACTGGGTACAGCACCTGAGGGGCGTTATCGTTCTGATCCTGAACCAGGATTTTCACAGTCACATTGTTGCTGAGAGGAGGAGAGCCTCCGTCCTGCGCTTTGACGCAGAACCGGAAATCCTTGATCTGCTCGTAGTCAAAGGAGCGCACTGCATGGATGACTCCGCTATCTGCACTAACGGACACATATGAGGAGACTGGCACTCCGTTAACAGAGGAGTCCTCCAGTATGTAAGAGACACGCGCGTTCTGGTTCCAGTCAGCGTCTGTGGCTTTCACTGTGAATATAGAGAGGCCCGGGCTGTTGTTTTCTACAATGTAGGCCTCATACGAGCTCCTGTCAAAGACAGGCGCGTTGTCATTCACATCAGAGATGTGTAACGTGAGAGTGACGCTGCTGGAGAGAGAGGGCACGCCCTCATCTGAACACGTGACTGTGATGTTGTATTGAGACGCCTGCTCTCTGTCTAAATATGTATCTGAGACGAGAGAATAAAATCCATTTGAGGTGGACTTTATTTTAAAAGGAATTAAATTGTTTAGAATACAATTTACCTGCCCATTGTTCTCTGAGTCAGGATCATTTACACTTAACATGGCTATCACTGTCTCTGGAGGCGAGTCCTCTAAAACCAAGTCCGATTTAGACACTATGTTTATATTTGGTTTATTATCGTTGATATCACCGATTTCAATGATGACCTTTGCTGAATCTGACAGTCCACCTCTGTCAACAGCTTCAATGTCAATCTGGTAACTACCCACCCTTTCATAATCGAGTTCGCCAAATGAGGTGATAACGCCATTTATTTCATCAATTTTAAAAATATCATTCAAACGCAATTTGCTCGGCGTCATCGTGTAGGAGACCATTCCATTCAAGCCAATATCTTTATCTGATGCGCTCACAGTGAGTATACTGGTCTCTTTGGGGGAGTTCTCCATTATCTTTGCTCTGTACAATGGTCTGGAGAAAACAGGTGCGTTGTCGTTCGCGTCTAGCACAGTCACAAATATCTGCATTGTTCCCGACATCTGCGGCTCCCCTCCGTCTGTAGCGGTTAATAGTAATGGGATATGCGCCTGTATTTCCCGATCTAAAGCTTTCTGTAAAACCATCTCCACCTTTTTACCCCCGTCTGCTTCGTTTTCCATTTGTAGTATAAAATTATCCGTTGGGCTAAGTGAATATTTTTGGAGTCCATTTACCCCAATATCAGGGTCAATGGCTTTTTCCAGTATGAATTTAGATCCTAATATTGCTGACTCGCTGATCTCAAATCGTTTTTCTGCATTGGTGAAACTCGGGTAGTTGTCGTTTATATCTGTAATTTCTACTGTAATTCGAAACATTTCCATCGGATTTTCCAAAATTAACTGAAAATCTAAAGCACAAGGCGTCGTCTCACCGCAGAACGCCTCTCTGTCGATCCTCTCCTGGATAAACAGGACTCCTCTTTCTTTATTCAGACCGATGTATTCGACATTGTTTCCCGTATATACACGTGCTTTTCCTGATTTGAGTCGTTTCAAATCTATGCCCAAATCCTGCGCTATGTTTCCAACTACAGAGCCTTTGGGCATTTCTTCAGGAACGGAGTAACTGACCTGAGCGAACACCGAGTCCAGGCACAAAACACAGAGCAACAGCAGTGATTGAGATCCCATTGTCAAACCCAGCGGAGTTTCCAAAAATATCCACAGACTAAAAAGGAGGAAGAATTAATCGTTCACAAACGAAATTGTTAAAAAAAAAATAAAACTCGAGGATTGCGATATTCCCTCAAAACGCAGAGGTCTACAAACGCGTCTCTCCCGTCTACTCTGATTCAACCAAACAAGAGAAAGAAGGTTGGCCACAAATAAATTAAATTATCCCAGCTTGTGAGTCAACAGCGACACTTCGAGTCCAGTAAGAATATTACAGCAAGTCAAGGAAAGATTCAGAAGAATGATGAATGTATTACCACGAAAAATGTGTTATACAAGTTTTCTCCTTCACTATAACAGTAAAATATGCATAACACTGTCCAAGGTGCTGAAAATAACTAGACGAACGAACAAACTAGAAGAATTAGATGTGTAATTGGAACCATTTGCCATTTTACCTTTTGAAGAATATAAACAAAACACTGCATGAATTGTAATTAAAGTTTCAAACCTCTAGAGGAGAGTCTGGTTCGTCCAGGATGCTCTTCTCACTCTGTATCCGATGCATCGTCCCTGTTGAACTGGGATCCATTATCAGCACGTTCTGACTACCAGCTCTGCCAAACTTACAGTCACTCTTTCTGGAGTCTGTGGTCCTGCACGTGTCGTAATTGTACACGTGTGGGAGAGTCGCTGTGCCCAGAGTGTCTGAGTAACGTGGAGGATAATATGGGATCACTGGCAGATTGGAGTGATACAGGATGCGAGTCTGTCTCCATCTGTAAATTTTCACTGAGATAATGACCACTACACACGTGATGAACAGAAAGGAGACTACAGCCAGAGCCAGCACTAAGTAAAAAGTCAGGTTGTCATTGTACTCCTTGTCGTGCGTAAAGTCAGTGAACTCAGACAGTACTTCAGGAAAGCTGTCCGCCACCGCCACGTTAACAATGACTGTAGCTGAACGAGAGGGCTGCCCGTTGTCCTCCACTATAACAGTCAGTCTCTGTTTGACTGCATCTTTATCAGTCACTTGGCGGATAGTTCTTATTTCTCCATTCTGTAAGCCCACTTCAAACAGCGCCCTGTCTGCGGCTTTCTGCAGTTTATAGGAGAGCCAGGCATTCTGTCCAGAGTCCACATCCACAGCCACCACTTTAGTGACCAGATAGCCCACATCTGCTGAACGAGGCACCATCTCAGCCACCAGAGAACCCCCAGTCTGGACTGGGTACAAGCACCTGAGGGGCGTTATCGTTCTGATCCTGAACCAGGATTTTCACAGTCACATTGCTGCTGAGAGGAGGAGAGCCTCCGTCCTGCGCTTTGATTACGCACACAAACTCTTTGGTTTGTTCATAATCAAATGAGCGCGCGCGGCACTAACAAGTCCATTTTCTGAATTAACAGAGATATAACCCAGGACAGGGGAGCCACCAACGTCACACTCCTCTAAAATATATGACACACGCGCGCGTTTTGGTTTTCATCTGGGTCTTCGGCAACAACATTTAACACAGAATAACCAGGTGAGTTATTCTCTGTTATGGTCGCGCTGTAGAGCGCATGTGTGAATAATGGAGGGTTATCATTTACATCTGAAATCTTTAAATTCAGTGTTTTTATCGACTGAGAGCGGTGACTTTCCCAAATCCGAGACAACTATTGTGATGTTAAATTCTGATAAACGCTCCCGGTCAAATGGAGCATTAGTTACTAGTGCGTAATAGTTTCTAACATTAGACTTTATTTCAACAGGGGCACTTCCCTCCACTGAACATCTCACCTGTCCGTTCTCACCTGAATCAAAGTCTTTAACATTAATAATACCGATGGTGGTGCCCACTGTAACGTCCTCTGACACAGGACTAGTGAACGACATCACGTTAATAACAGGCGCATTGTCGTTCACGTCTGTAATGTGTATTTCCACTTCACATGTATCCGTCAGTCCTCCTTGGTCTCTGGCCTCTACCCTGAATTCCACTTTCTTGTCCGTTTCATAATCAATTTCTTTTGTAACATAAATCCCGCCAGTGTCTCGATTTATATCAAAGAAATCCGTGACCGATGATTTTGATTTGGAAAAGGAGTAGGTCACTTGACCGTTTGCTGCGTCATCTACATCACTGGCATTTACTGTGACAATAAGAGTTCCCTTTTGTGAGTTTTCAGGCATACTAGCTTTATAAATACTCTGACTAAACACAGGGGCGTTGTCATTGGCATCTAAGACCACAATTTTTTATATCTACTGTTCCAGATCTTTGTGGACTTCCACCGTCAACAGCCACTAGTTTGAAATTAAGGCGCGGCTGTTTCTCTCTGTCCAAAGCATTCTGCAGCACCATTTGAATGTATTTACTCCCGTCGGATTTAACGTGCTCTTTTAAAACAAAATTATCGTTTGGCGTCAACGCATAGTTTTGCAATCCATTTTCTCCTACATCAGAATCACCTGCCGCCTCCAAATCAAAGCGTGATCCAACTGTGGCTGATTCGCTTATTTCAAATC